AGAGCTAATTGCCCTATCTGGTTTTCTGAGGTGGGTTCTTAAACATTCCCTTGTCCCCTTCAGAGGATAAATATGAATTTATCTAATTTGTGGGACTCTGGCTTGAGAAGATATGGTCAGTTGGATCTGAGATGCTTTGATATGATTATCAAACGCTCTCAGTGTTTGTGAAGGGAGGGAGCAAAGGGGAAGTAGGGTTTGTCCCCTGGAGTAGGTGTCCTCCCAGAGGGCAGGTTCCTGCCAGGTGTTGGGCAGCACCACTGTCCTCGCTGCCATGGCCCCAGCAGGCAGCTCCTGTCCCAGGACAACAATTAATCAGCAAGGGGCAGCACAGGGCAGGGAGAATGGCAGCCTAAAACTGCCCCAAGCACCATCAGTTTCTTCCTTCACCTGCATCCCAGGCTGTGTGGGACTGTGCTCCAGTCATGCCCCATGGTGATCACAGCACACCTAAGAGTCTTTTGGCTTTGTCCAGAGCTCTGGGGGACGCTGCCATCTGCACCTTTCAGGCACCTCTTTCTACCTGCTCCAAACTTTAGTGCAAGGCAGTAAAGTCCCTATCACAGACCACATTTGCATTTTACGGCAAGAAGTGTCTCCTTTTGCCCAGTATCTCTGACAGCCATACCCATCACTTTTCTTGGCATATCCAGAACAGGTCACTTTTACCTTTATTGGTAAATTAGAGATTAATCATCAAGCAACTGAGATTGAAAACGAGAGGCTAAAAATTGAAATATTTATTAGTCAGATACTAGACTAGTAGACCTTGTTGATCTTAGGAGGTGGATAATATTCTGGTCATCTTGTTTGTTCACTCAATATCTTTCTGGAATAAGAAGCTGGCATGTAAATGTGAATGTGCTGTTTAGTTCCTCTTCGCAAGGGGCAGCCTCGGGTGCTTAACAACCATTTCCTTCTCGTCTTTTGTACTTAATTGGCTGGACATGGAGGAGAAGTAGTGCATAAATTCAGCAAATAGTTTCTGTTCTTCCTGTAGCTGCTCTTTGGACACCTACAGGTCATTAATTCCTTTGTTTCAAGTCAACCTGTCAGGAGCAACTCTCCTGCCCGGTATGAGCTGTTCCCTCCATGTGGGCTCCTGACCCATTTCCACCGATCCGTGCTACCAGACCTGTTCAGGAGCGATCAGGACCCTGGGACATTGCCAGCTTTCTGCTGAGACTAGAAGAGATACAGATGATATGGCAATAATACAGAAAACCAGAACTCTGCTTTCCCAAACTACCCTCCATATACTGACAGGGTTATCTAAAAGAGTGATATTATTAATTTTGTGGGGACATCAGACCTTGCTAGCAGGTAGATGTGGCTGCTGAAAAGGGAGTAAGAGCTGCGCTGTGACTATAGGTTCATCACACAAAAGCCCAAAGCTGTTACTGCACCCTCCAAGAAACAGCCTCTGGTGATGGAAATAAAATCAGCTGTTCCTGTAGGTTGTGAATTTAAAAGAAGGCAGGCTGAGGAAGGGAGTTTGGAAATCCCTGCTGATCAGGAGTTGAGACTATTTTTCTCCTTTAAGAACATTTGCTCAGCTTTTTAATTTACAGTGTTTCCAGTTGCCATATCAACCTGAGAAATTTGCCTGGCAATTAATGGCATATTTTTCAATTGAAGATTAAAAAACTTAGTTGCATCAGGTTCAGCATTTTTTTCCTAGGATTTCACTTTATGTTATTTTACTTCATTCCCAGTATTTGCTTTCCAAGCCATGTTGAGCAGAGGACCAGGGATCCCCACCCTGCCTCTGCCCAGGCACATCTCAGAATTAGGAGTCCATGTGCAGAAGTCAGGAGGCAGGTCAAAATGCAGCCAATATTAGTAGCTGGGAGAAAGCCTGTAGGACACATCCTATAGGCTGGGAAAGGTCACAAGCATCAACAGAAAGACTGGCTGAAGGCTAGTGGCAGCCTCAGCTCTTTTGTTGCCCTGGAGAGCAGTTGTAGGAGGCAGAGTGAAGGCAAGGGAGGTTGCTCCTGGCTTTGTTGTTGGACAGTGTATTGGTGTTCTGGGAACCTGCATCTGCATCCAGCACCACTGAAGTGGGGAGGGAGCCTGCACCCACTCCCAAAGGTACCCAGAAACCCCTGTGTCCCCCCATCTGTTCACCCACATCCCCTCCAGCCCATCCCTGGCCATGCATGGGTCACTGGTGCTAATGGGGACTAACCTGCCCCAGCGCAGATGAATCTGCAGGGACTTTTCTCTGGTGAATAAATTGTTTGGTTTGTTGTGGGTTTGTGGTGGGGTTTTTTTCTTTAAAAGGAATAAGAATGGAAAACAAGAAAGTCAAAAAGCCCTGAATCTTTACCTTTTTAAAGTGGAGACACCGCCACAGCAGGACATAATGGCTTGCTGTGGTGGTGGTGGTTTGCCTGAGAGCCTGGAGATTTATGTAATGAGAAACACAATTCCTGCAAAGAACATTGTTAAATCTTTTCAAAATTTCAGCTATAAGCCATTTTATTGCTAATAATATGGCTAGATTCTTCTTTTGAAGAATCTGGGAATGTTTGACAAGTGGGGAAAATGGAGAGGACTTGAGGCACCATAATCTGTATTTTCCATTTACCTTGCTTGAAGCTTGAACAACACATGTGCCACAAATGATTTGTTTATTCCTAAGCACCCCCAAGGAGCCCAGTCTCCATTCTCAGGCATATAATGGCTATTCAAATGAAAGCTTTAATAGGTTGTTGCAGATCTGATACCAATGCAGTGAGAGAAAGAGATATGCAAATATTCAAAATTGAACAAACTAGCTCCTGCCCTTTGCCTTCGGAGGTGCAGTCTCAGATCTGGAAGGTGTCACCCGTGCAACGAGCCTGCTGGACTCAGCTCTCTGGAGAACGAGTTCCTTTTTCTCCTTTCCCACTCCCCCTACTTTGCCTTACAAAGCTTTCACTTGAAAGTTTAAGTTATTTTGCTAGAAATATTTTCTGTCTGAAGCACTCATGGGGAAGGAGAGCCCCAGTGGGGGCTGAAATACACAACATGTTCAGATTTGAGCTTGAGCAACATTGTTGGGGAAAGCTCCTCTCTGCTGGTTTGTTCCACAGCTTAAAACAAGGCCCTAAACCTCAATGCCTTCTCCTGGGCATTTCTTTATGCTGTAGAAAAAACTTTTGAAGAGTGACATAGACAAAAGTCCAATTAGGGACTAATAAAGTCTAAATAAAATCTGTTTCTGCCCACACCACAAGACAAACAGGGGACTTCACTAGTTCTTAACACCAGTTCTCTTCCTCTTTTGCTCCATGTATTGTGTGTATGAGTCAGGCCCCAAAGCCACTTTAAAAATGTAAAAAATAGCATGTCATCCACCTAACCATTGAATCTTTGCCAGCAGCTACTGTGTGCACTGAACAGTGGTGAAAAATAATAATTTTACATCAAAAACACTATAAAACTTTTTCAGCGTCTTCCAGGTTCTTGGAAAACTACTATTATCTTGTCCAACCCTCAAGGCTTTTTGCACAATTATCAATTAATTCTTCAGTTGTTTTTCAAAAAGGCAGTGCTGGAATCAGGAGCCACACAGCAAATCACATGGATGGAGGTGGAAGTGCAGCTGTGCCTCCTCCACAGGATGTCCATGCAAACCTCGATTCTGCTCCTGGTTCAGGGGCACAATCCCTGGAGCATCCCTGTACCTCTCTTGCCCTCCCATCTTTTGCTTTAAAGCTCTGATCACAAGAGCTTTAAAGCAAAACTTGCCTCTTGTTCCATCATTATTGCTGGTGAACCAAACTTTGTCAGCAGTAGAATATTTCCAGAGATCTGCAAACATCTAGAAAACCTCTGAGCTACAGGGGTTCAGCTGAAGCTGCAGCTTCAGACATGAAGAGAGAGCCCTGTGCTCAGCAGAAGGCACAAGGGGGATCTTGCTTTGGTTGGGGTATTTGGACAGTGTTCTGGCTGTAACACAGTGTGTTGGAAGTGGGTTTGCACCTCAGAGATTTGAAGTTCTCCCTCACTGATGTAAACCAAGGCTGGACACCTCTGGGTTTCAGAGGGGAGGATCTGCTGAAGGCAGATGAGGAAAAGGCCTTCAGAAAATAAACATCCAGCTTTAATTTAGCTAGTCTTTTCCTTCAGAACCCAGGAGGGAAAAGCCCACTAGCCAAAATGATGGGGGAAAGATCTTCCTTTGCAAGTGTGAGCAATATCATACAGAAATGTTCCCCAAATTTGTATTTCGTGAGACTGATTGGAACTGTAGTCAAAACCTATATTAGAATGTGACTAGACAGTGCAATTAAAGGTGATCTGTGGCCATGTTTAAACATGAACTAACCAACCATAAGCTACTTACGGGCTGTGGCTACAAAAAAATAGAAAGGGCTGACTCACAGTGGGAGAGCATGAGGTTGGAAGGTTCCCATGCAGTCCTCCCTGTGCTCCTGTTCCTAGAGATCCTGAACATCCCATGCTCCCCAGACACCTCCCTTGACACTTGCAGGGCATTGGTATTTCTGAAAGCCTGACTTAAAGGCTGAAGATGAGAAGTGTTTCTTTTGGCCTGTCAGCAGCACAAATGAGAAGGAAGAATGGAATTCTCCAAAGTTTTTCCAGAATGCATGCCCAATTCAAACAGACTCATCCGGCTTCCTTGCAAGTGTGATTCCCAGATCACAGCTAAGTTTAGCACAGACTTCCCTAACACCAGTGCCATTAGTGTGAAGAAATAGATTTGTATTTTTCTAATTAAAAAATATTAATTAAAAGCTCATAAACCTTGTGAGAAGCTTTTGATTTTGGCCCACCTAATTTTCAGTTTTAAACATTTTTACTTGGTCAGCATTTCATAATGAAATTTATTCTTTTTCAAAGAGGAGCACATGATTCTATAGGGGAAAATATATCAAGGATGAAATAATATTTATGCATGAAACAAATCAGCATCTAACCAGTTTTTGTCTCTTTCAGACAACCAATTTTCAGAAATTGAGATTACCAATTCTGGTTCTGTTTAAGACTGGGGAGAAAATGAAAAATTCTGAAATGTCTGCAAGGCTGGAGAGCAGTTTTCCACTGTGCTCTCCTCAGATGAGATTGCAGAAATTCTTCTGTTTTCTTCTTCCTCCCTGGCTCTGCCACCAGGCAATTCTGTTCACACTGTTCTCCAAGACAAAATCTGAGCCAGGCTGAGATTTGTGCTGATGGTGAGTGCCTGCCTTTCTTTCTATTTTTCTTTCTTTAAATAAAACAATTTCCTAAGGCTTTGAAATGGGGCTGATAAAAAGCAGCTTTTAAAATGCATTTTAGTAAATAGTTTGAAACCAGACCATAAAGTCTCATAACTGTAGGTTTGCCCTTAATTATACCTCACTGACAGCCCATTTTCCTTCTCCTCTGCAACCAGTCTCCTTTTTCTTTAAGAGCAAAACATATTGTATGCTACTTTTGAAAGATTTGTGGAGTTTCACACAAATTCGACAAGATCTGTAGGTAAACAGTGTCACCTAGTGGATAACCGGCATCGGTTTCCTCAAATTGTGGAAGAAGTTTGGCCGCGTGGTTTTTCCATTTTGTCCTAGAAAAAAAATATTATCTCAAATTGGAAGGAGCCCTGTACTGAGCAGTGGGATCGCTGCCAAATGGCTGCAAATCCAAAGTCGCAGGATTTGATGGCCAGCACCGAGGGGGACGTTTGTCATGAGCGTGGGCACAGATCCAGTCCCATCACCAGCTGTAAAGGGAAGAACCAAATCTCCAGCTCAGTGCTGGAGTGGAATATTTATTCCCTGCATGTGTAAAGGTGTTCTGGACTCCACATCATCTCCTGCACCATTAGCTGCCTCTCTCCAGGCACAGAAAATAAGAGGAGGTCAGGAGGTGTCTGCCATGTGATCAGCTGAGGCTCCTGAGCAGTAAAAGCTTAAAAAAACCCAAAACTGCAAAGTCCTTGGGGGTGGGAGATTTGGCAGAGAGTACTGGAAAGGAGGAGAAAGAGTATAAGTCCATGGAGAAATCTCTCATCCTGAGAGGGTGGGATGATAATTTCGAGGATGGCAGATACCTTAGAAGAAAGATTCCTAGGGAAAGCAAGAGACAAGATAAGCCTTGGAGAGCCTTCTGAGTTAGAAATAACAGGTTAGAAAATCAGGACATGATAGCCTCAACCACGAGTAAAGTGCTCCAGAAGGAAGGATATGCTCCTGAACACTAAACTGAGGCTGGATATCCTGAAGACCACTTGCAGCACTTAGGTTTCTGCTTTATAACTAGCTTTGCTGTCAGGATCCCTTGGAGTCAAGACTAATTTGAACCAGAGCACTGCAGGAAGAAATAAATATAAACAGAATTGAGACAAAAATAGAAAGAGCTTATCAGAGTCACAGAAACTCCTGGGGCAAAGAAAGAGGTAGGATTAAAGAAGCAAAGGTGAGAAGTAACTTGGTTTCTAAACAAATCAAAGACTGGCATTCAGCTGGCTTCATGCAGATTGGGTGGAAAGTGGAGGGTTTATGTTCCACTCTCACTACCTATGCCCGTTCTTGCTCTCCCTGTAAGGTCATCACTGCAGTTTGTTACAATTGCATTTTGATTCTGAAAATCCCACTGATACCCTACTCCTTTCCTCACACTGGACAAGAGTGTGAAGGAGAGTAAAAGCATAGTACTAGAGATGCCTCTTCCATGTCCAAGAAGCAGCAGGTGGGAAAACCCAGGTGAAAATTCAGGGTATTATCAGCATCTTCTTAACATAGACACCAGCCATGGAGAAGAGCAGGATTGCTCTATCACTGGACTCCAGCAAGCTGGCTGTGAACATTCTCAGACTGAACATTTCTAGCCAGGTCTTACATTGATGTGGCTTTGGTCAACAGCAATAAGCCAGAGCACCCTGAGGAATGTACATGTTGGAATTGTAGTTAAAATGATAAATATCTTATTTCCATAGGTCAGGAAGCCTGAGCTCTAGCACTTAATTATCTTCCAAATAAGAGGAAAATAGCAATCGATTCTTATGGCAAATAGTTCTGCTAAGTTTGTGTTTGGCCTCTGTTTTCTCCATTTTTGTCATCTGTCAAATGGATGGTCTGTCATTCTTCTCCAAAGAAGGGAAAGTGATTCTCGTGTAAAGCCCAGAGGAGCTCTGTTTACAGGCAAGCTAAAATATGCTGCAAGTTGGGACACTTTCTCACCTGAGCATACATTGTGTTTCCAAAACAAACACTGGCATAACTGTATTTGCTCAGTTTCAAGCAGTTTTCCTCAAACTATTTCATGTTTCTTTTTTATACCAGTCTTCTTGGACCAGTTCCCACCGACTGAATCTGTGGAAGGCACCATCCTCTACTGGTCCCTGCTGTGGGCATTGGCAGGTACTTTGTTTCATCATTTTGGTTACTCTGTGCCTCAGTTTACTCCTCCATTAATCTGAGTTCTACACTGACTTTCCCACAGTGCTTTTATTCTTGGGACCTCTGAGAAGTTCTCTTACCTGTCTTCTCTCAGACAGTCAAACCATTACTAAATCAGACAGTTATCATATTTCCCTTCTCAAAGAGAAAGTGATAATAATTCCTTTGCTCAATAAAGTATTGACAACTGTGAGGGTTGAGGCAAAAAGTCAAATTGAATTGCCCAAGTAAATGAGGAATCTCTGGCAGCCAGGAAATTATATAAAAATATCATCATATTAACATCCATCCCTCAGACTGTCCAGTCAAATGAAGATCCCTGGAAAGCATCAAGCTGAGGAACTGAGCTGGTTGTAGAAAACTGTGTCTGTGTGTGTGTGTGTGTGTGTGTGTGTGCATGTGAGATGCCATATTTTACCCGTTTAAATGATCAGCATCATGATCATTTAAAACAAAAAGGATAAAGAAAAACCAAACCCAAGGTACTTCCAATCTCTCTGCATCCCATCCTTCAAGATGGCCACTGAGTAGACACGCTCCTGAGTACTGGGGAAATTTGAAGAGATTATCATTTCCTCTGACTCAAAAGCAAAAACAAAACAAAACCCACTCATCATCTTTCTGAAGCTCCCTGTTTAAATCTGCTTTTCAGCTGGTGCAGCATTTGTTTACCTCATAAACTCAGTCTCAGGGCGACTCAGCTTAGGGCATGGGATGATGCAAGCTTGAGCACCTCAACAAATTTGAAGAGGAGGCCTGGAGAAAGTGTGAAAGACTCCATGTTTCCTCAGCTTCCCTCCTAGCTGCCCAGTCAGATTTTCCAGCTTATGAAGTAAGCTTTTTATTTCTATTACTAGTTCACATGCAGTACTGGAGGAATTTGTGCCTTACCATGAGAAAACACCTGGAGCTTTGTAAGCTGGCTCTCACACAGGGCCATTCAGTGACATCTCCATAGTGTTAGCAGATCTCAGATCATTTTCATGTGAAACAACCACGTGAAAACCCACCACTGCTGCTGGCTTTACTGGTTTAAGACTCACTGGCTGTAGACTAATTTTCCCTTTTGCTCCTTGGGGTTGGCTAGCAGGGTAGGAAATTAAAGAGGCAGCCAGGAAGAGGTGGCACCACTTCTGTATGTGTACGACTTCGGTCTACAATGGTATAATTCCAGAACCTTTCCCTACAGTAAATGCAGTGAATATTCTTATTCCTGTTCTAAAAGCAGCACTAAATGGGATGGTTTAAGATGAGAATATTTTCCCAGCTCCTGGAAAGGATTAGACACACAACCCTGAGGTGGGTGAAGTGTGTGATTGTCATCAAACTAAGAAGCCGTGTTCAGCTTGTCTTGGATTTCTTTATATGAGACAAGGGATGATTCATAAAAGCAAATGCTGAGGCCACACAGTTTGTCAAGGCTCTAGTCTAACCAGGTGTAATGAGGTTTTGCAGATGAGCTGCAGTTAAGGCAAAAAAAATAACAGATCATGGGTCAAATCCATCCCTGATGTAAGTCCAGCATCATCAGTAGGAGTTACCCACGTGTGAATCTGGCCCCGTGTTTCTCACTCATACAATAAAGCAAGATCCCTCCTGCAGCAGAATCAATTGGAAAAAGGAGAACAGAAAAAATGCTTCTTTCTTGATCACATTAAAAATAATCACTTTTTTGTTGTACAATGGGGCAGAGAAAACCAGCCCTAGAAACCAGAGTACAGTTTCCTCAGCATGTCACAGGGAGGGGAGAGAGGGGGAAATTGGCATAACCAAGAGGTTTCTTTCATCTCTGTTCAGTTCTAAATGGTGCAGGGAACAGGGGAAAGCACACCTAGATATCTATATATCTATATCTATCTATATCCATCTATATTTATATAGATATCTAGATGAGCTTTCTCCTCTTCCCTCTATCTATATCTATACATAATCTATGGATATCTATAGATAACTACATAGCTTCCATAAACACTGAGTGATTTAGAGAAAAAAAGGGCTGTATTCTTTCTGTTGATTAGACCTGATGTTTAAGAATAGTAAAATAAAAGAGATGAAATCTAATGTTTGTTGTCTCAGCTTTTCCCTCCCATTTGGCAGGTCGGTTGTGTTTGTGAGCTCTAAGGGAATGCAGAAAAGTCACATGAGGGAGAAAATTTCTGTTCACTAAAAATTACTAATCATTCTTTCCCACTAAATAAACACCACTGAAAGGTTTTTAGTAATACAAAGGTGGATTTTTTTGTTCTTTCCCTTTTCCCTCTCTTCTCCAGCTAATGATACAGATGTGCAAAATGCAGGACATGACACCCTACTAAGCATTAGGTGCAGTGTTTTGCAGGTGACAGGATCTAGATCTGAGTTCAAAATAAAAGCACAATAGCCTGAAAATCTTCTACTGCACACTGCTAGCACTTTACAACCTAAATGGCAGGAAAAGAAATTCATACAGTCATAGAATAATCTTTCTAGCACAACTTGTATTCCAGCAGCAGTGAGGTCCCCTCTGAGACTGTGGCCCTGGTGCAACTGCTCACCAGAACAGCACACAAACTAACCACATGAGACAGAAAGTTGGAAGAAAAATATACCACTTGATCTGGAATTCTTACAGCCAAAAAACTCGGACTGCTTGAGACCTCTGTAGAGGAAGTAGAAACTAGACCTGCTCCTGCATCCCAAGCCAGAGGAGTCTGATGCCTTCCATCTCCCCTCTCCCAGCACTGTTCCTCTCAGAAGGCCTTTGCTGACACATCCAGGGAATTCAGAGCTGTGCTTCTACCCACTGTACTTCAACAAACCCATTCATACCTGCTCATTTTTCTTTCCAAGGATGCTTCTCCATGCATTTCACTGGCTGAAGTTCCTCTTCCTTGGCACAGCAGCAGCAGAACACAGGTGGCAGTGAGGGGCTCCAGGTGCTGGTGTTCTCCTTCTGCAGGAGGACACCCCACTCCTACAGCCCTCTGCTCCAGCCTCCTTCATGCCATGTGTCCCACCGAGGGAGATAAACAGCAATTGTGACAGCTGACAGCAGTGTTTCCTGTGGAGTTTCCACAGAAACAGCCCCACATTCCTGGGATAACAACTGGGGACCTGTCTGAAAATGGAGGACAAAGAATTTACTGTAAAGAAAAAAAATCAGTAGCAGCCCTGCTGTATTTAAACATTAATGTATATTTTTTTAAAAATAAAAATCAGGATGATCACTTCTGCTGACTCTATTTCACTTTGTGCCTCAGAGCACAGGTGAGAACCATCTGCTGACAGGGGGTTGTACATTTTGTCATTCCTTCAGGTGGGGATTTCCTATCCCAAGTGGGGTGGCTGAGCTTTCCTCAGGCTTAGCTGCTAAACCACTGCCCCACAGGAGTCAACTCCCAGTGCTGCAGCATTCCTGTTTTCTTACCTTGAGAGGTGACGGCCATGGTCACAAATTTACCTTATTTTCAGCCCATGACCAACAACTTTATTGTGACATGACTATGGATCCTCCACCTCTGAAGAAGGCACATTTAATTTATGTTTACACATTGGGGTTTAATTCTCTTGACTAAATTTAGACCTTCTTTGCAGCAAATTTTAATTTCTGTCCTGTTCTCCTCTGTTTTTTTCCTGAGTCTGGGAGCACAGCAGACATCTAAAGGAAACAGAAGCACAATGTAGTTTTTTATCACTGCTCTAAACTAGCCTGAAATTTGTATTTTTGGGTCAGCTGCGCTCCTTGACATTGCAAAACACTAGAGCCTCTCCAGAGCATTTTTACTACACTCAGAAAGAAAGAATGGAAAACCAAAAATGGTTCCTAGAGAAAGGATATAATGAAGCGTGAGCAATGTCTGGCTACAGTTCCACTCCCAATCTCTTCTCTGGACAGAACAAAGCAGGACAGTGCTCTTAAAATACATCTATTTTACAACAAGGCTAGTGGTTGCTCTGCTGCAGTGACGAGCAGGGATGTTAAAATTCTGTCACTGAGCTTTAGGACTGGCACCTTGTGGGAAGCACCTTGAGAAGCTTGCAGCGCTCGCTCTGCGGCTGCCGCGGGAGTGCTGCCCACACCAGAACTGCAAAGTGCTTTGGTTGCTGGCTTCTACATCACTGACTCTTCTGCCTTGAAATATTTTGCCTCTAGAGAAGACACTCTGGAATTTCCTGAAGCAGAACATGGCATTACGTAAATCTGATGTTTTGACATACTGATATTTTTAAGCTTGCATAATTCACTGAATTCCACCGAAGTTTTTCATTTCAATACCTCAGAAGCATCATTTCTTGGTCAGTTTTAGGCTTCTTCAGAAAGATTTATTTTTTTTCCCATTGCTCCATTCCCCAGGTGTCCCAATGGAGTTTCCATGGAAGATCCTTATCATGAGAGGCTGGTGATGACATGGGTTTTGTCAAAAGTGCTTACAAGGATTGTGCTGTAAAGTTGCTGTTTTGTGGCCAAAACATGCCCTTGCAATTATCCACCAGCAATAGCTCCTGGCATCTGTGGGAGAACACAGCCTTGCAATAAGGTGGGTTAGTACTAATTACAAGATGTTTATTCAGTGTAAGTAAAATACACTGTATTTTACTCATTAGCACCCAAAATGGCACATGCAATTGGAGCAACATACTAATCCAAATAGGGGATTACAGCTAAGCAGGGTGCTGAACTGTCTGCAGTTAATTTATGGTTAACCAAGACGCTCATTTACCCTGGTAAGAGCACACACCCACCCAGTGTGAGAGGAGGATCTCATCACACTTTGGAGAAGCATCTTTTCCTGCAGCAAACACATCAATACCAATAAGGTCATATAACATAGGAGAAGACCCAGCTTCTTTATTGCCATGAAGGTGTTTGCTATAGGAAGAGACACTTTTTTTTTACCCAGTTAAGGATACAATGGCCTTTTTCAGCTCAGCATTTCTTCAGCTGATCGCCTAATAACTAAAGCACAATACAAATATAGTCTATTTTCTCATGTCTTGTGTTTGCTGAATCTTTCCTGTGTCCATAATCAGGGCTGATCCTCAACTAGTTTATATGAAATTTATTATGAGATCATAGGCTGGTTTCATAAAACTCACGCCCAAGTGAATGGACATTTTTATGACTGATGAAGCTTGAAGTGATTAGGAAACAGTCTCAGCACAACCCGAAATGGTTATTATAATCCAAGATTAAAATGTTTTCTCAGCAGTTTGTGCTATTGAAGTTCATGTGTACATTCATTTGCCAACCCCTTGCTGTGCATTTCACCAAGCTACCTGCAAATCAGATGGAGAGCACTGTGAGTTCTCTGAGCCTTTTAATTGTTCTCTTGAAAATGATTGAGGAAGAAGCAGACCAATAGAATAAGAAGGTGCTGGGCTTATTAACCTACAGGTGAGGTCACTTTCTATGTACCAGGATGGAGGAGAGGCTATGAAAGGAGGAACAGAAGCATTTTTGTCAGAAATGAACATGAGTAGAAATAATTTGAGACAAAAAAAAAGAAATTGAGCACTGAAACTTTTAAAAAGGTAAGACCCACTGAATGGGATGCATTAATTCACTTGCTTACAGTTTAAAAAAAATAGTAGTTATTTGAACTTTAATTTCGGTTTTGTTGTTGTTTAGGTTTGGTTTTTTGACAGTAGTTCTACTTCTCTTGGTCTAAGGCATATTTTTGGAGTAAACCTCATTTTCTAGGGAGTTGTGGAGCTTTGTTTTGTACTTCCACATTTAGGGCCCAATGCTGTTCTGGTGGAATAACCTGGGCTTTCTGCCCACCAAGTTACTCTTTCTCCATTTCCTTAATGGGGCAGGGGAAGAAAACAAAGTGTAAAAAAACTTATGGGTTAAGATAAAGACAAGGGGATTGCTTGCCAATACACATCACCAACAAAACTGAAATAACTAGTTTTTGGGGAAAACATTCTATTTTCGATTTAAAAATAGAGAAGGAAAGTAAGAAATAAAAACACTCTCTCCACCTTGCTCCTTCATTGCCAACTCTTCTACCCCCTCCCCATATTTGGCACAGGGAGATAAGGGAGTTCATAACTTACTGTTTTCCACTCTTTCCCTGCACTCTTCCACTGCTCTGGCATGGAGTGCCATCCATCCCATGGCATGCAGTCCCCCAGAAACTTGTCCTGTGTGGCACCAGTTCTTCAAGAACAGCTCCAGCATGGGCTGTAGCTTCCTTCAGGGCTCAGGCCCCTGCTGCAGGGTGGCTGCCTGTTCCATGTTTGCCTTCCTGGGCTGCAGGGGAACAACCTACTTGGATGTGGCCTTCTCTATGGGCTGTGGGGAATCTGCCCCCCTCTTAGAGCACCTCTTCCCCTTCCTTCAATGCAGACCTCAGTTTCTTCTGCACTTTTTCCTCATTCCTTTCTCTTGTAGCTGTTGGGCAGTGTTTGTTACTCCTTAGATGAGTTTTCACAGAGATGCCACCAGCATTGCTGCTGGGATTAGTTTTGGCTGGGTCCTTTTTGGAGCTGGCTCCGTCTGATATTGGGGCAGCTCCTGGCCTCTTGTCACCCCTGCAGACCACCTGCCACTACCAAACTGTGCCACATAAACCAAATATCCTAATTCATTCATTATGGTTTTGTGATTGAGGAGGGGGGGAGGAAATCCTGAAATCATGCACATATCTGTTCTGTGTTTATGCTTGACTACATTTAGTCTCTTGACTAAACACATGTTCTTGTACACTTCTGTAAGCTTGTTTTATCAGCTGTTTCTTCCTATTAGGTTCAAACTAACAGGTATTGCTATGCAGTGAAATCTCACCACAGTGTTCAGGGCTTTTCATGTGGCTGGTCACTGTGCCCTAACCCTAGATGTATGCACTGAATAACCACATTGTTCATTTATAATGTCCTTGGCTTTTCTATAGCCTTGTCCCTATGATATTACTTGTGGGCACAGTGGGCTGGATTGAAGACAGTGAAGTTAAAAGTGGTGATGTATGCAGCTATGTAACTGTGAGGAGAAATGTATTGATTCCCCATACCTCCTTTTCTAACCTGCTGTAAGGTGTTTCATCATGTAGGACATCATGGAGATCTTATATTTGTTACTTAACATACATTGAAAGGTCTGACTTCTCTTCCTTGCTGGCTTTCTGAATGGGAAAAGCTGTTGTTAACATGTCTTGTGTGTCAGAGATCAGGCTGCTCATGATAGCTCATGAAGCTTTGAACGTATATAGTAATAGAGAGGAATGGCAAACTGTTATATTAATGTAGCTGAAGCACAAAAAGTGAAACTATTGACCTTGCCAGCTCTGCATTTGGGACAAATGTTACTGCAGTGAACAGAGTAACTTTAGCAGATGTCAAATAGAAGTTGTTTTGAATTTCGATTTGTGTATTTATCTCTGGTATAGATAAATGTGAATGCCTGAGAAGGGTGAGCAAATTCCTAAAGATAGTTGCAATTTTGCATAAGTCAAAATTTATTTTTGTGAAAATTTTAGTTGTAGACAAAGAGGCCAGTAATGAAATAGAAACAAAAATTATTTCCCTGGGTTCCTAAGTCACTGAAGAAGTATTTGCTAATTAACTTCCTTTTCTAAAATAATGCTCTTTCAAATCAACAAAACAAAAAGCCTTTGTTACCACTCTTGCCCAGCATGGAACTGGTATTCCCCAAATGGAACCAGCAGGTATCCAGTAGGTCACTCAACACAGCTCCTGACCTCCCTCAGACAAAAGATCCTAAGACTTACAGTGGCTGCTACCAGGAGTATATAAAAGATACTGTAAAAACATATATCAAGAGGTATTAAGAAGGTTGTGTTGAGAGGTATGTGAACCTATATAAATACTACAGGGACAAGCAAAGTGTTTAGCTGCTTTCCATTCCTTTCATCCAAATCCAGTATCAAAATGAGCCTTGCAGGGCAGTGTATGGGAACGTGCAGCTTATCAATGGGCTGCTTCCCAGGGGTGTTATGTGCCTGCCCAAGGCCCCTACTTCATGGAAGTAACTCCTGCCCCATAGCTGATTTACATGGCCTTTCCACTGTGTGCAGCATCACATTTTCTGAAGCAGCTGCTTCCCCAGCAGGGAATGAAGCTACTGGGGGCAGAGGTGCCCAGGCCCCACACTTGGCCAGCCAGCTGTGGGTTTGTGTGGCTTGCATTGCTTGGGGCAGCCCAGGAACGCTGTCCCTGCTTCTTCCACAAGAGAAAGCCTATGCAGCTGAGCCCTGTGCTGTTCCCCAGTCCCAGGCCAAGTGTCTCAAGCAGTCTCCACTCAGCCCCTGGCACACAGGTTCCTCGGGCACCACGGCACAGGGAGCGTTCCGGGGAAGCCCGAGCCGTGGCCATTAGTGCTGTGCTGACAGCAGCCTCTGTGGATAACGAGAAGCCCTTCTGCCTCACTGCTATTAAACTGCTGCCTTTTCACGAGAGGAATCCTGAATCTTTCCTCAAACCTAAACAAAAAAGTCAGTCTTTTATTCGTTTCATCATTATCTAGGGCTGCCACATTCAAATGATGCTCCAGCAGTCCCTTCATTTCCGAGTGCACACGTCGAGAAGGGATTGGAAGCCTTTTGATTAAGAATAAGAGGTGATGACACTACAACCAGTGCAGGGTTGTCATCATTACCATGTACCTGCACTTCCACAGAGCTCTCGCTCTGGGTTGCCTCTGATATAAAGCTGCCGTACTCTGTGCCCTAATTGAATGGAACTATTTTATAAACACGCATTCCCTGAATCCCAGAAAAGATCCTTTTAGAGGGGAAGATATGGGGAGGGTGGTGGGGAGGTGAGGAGCTAGATGGGCTCAGTTCCTGGCAGACCAATTTTGTCTGTGAGAGAGATTTCTTTGTTCTCTGCAAAACTGCTTGTCGTCTACGAGCAGATATCATGGGGTTTTATTCCCCTGCAAGTCAAATGAATGATCTGACCACCCACTTTTAATCCTGTGATTTTCTGCTTTTGGCCTGGATTACAAGTCACCTATGGCCACCTTTAGAGCATAGCAGGCTCTAAGTTTACACAAGGCACCTAAGGGAAAACATCCCTTCCTCCCTGGCCCTATTTGTTAACTGTTCACATTCAGTAATTTAACTGAGTGACTTGGTCATAGCAATGACCTTTTGGTAGCAGCACGGGGAGGAAACCTGCTGTCTACCCACCAGGATGCTCTCACGTGTCTCGTGAGGTTGTATTCATGCTGCATCCTAAACCCACACTGCTGATTGTAGGAGTGACACTGAAGACTTGTTAAGCAGTGTCCCTCTTTTCAAGCACTCTGTGCTCACATTCTGGAATACCCACTGGTGATTTACTGTTTTCCAGGTTAACTTTTAAGTGCTGATTTTGACCCATATTCCTGTCCTGGCTATTTCTCTGTTCCCATGTGACACAACTGCAGCTGTAGCAGGTACCAGTGCTGTACCCGAGCCTCAAAGGGTGCTGGGCCCATGCCTTGGTACAAACTTGTCCCCCAGTTGCAGTTCAATAGTTAAACTAATTCTCTGCTATCTGTGTGTTTAAAGGTGAAAGGCTTTTATTG